CAGCATATTGCCCCCCAACAATCTGGTCCTCATTTTACAGACCTCAGAAGGATGGAACCTTGAGCCGGTGAGAATCGAACTGCTGGCAGTCCGCAGAATTAGCGTGCAATATTGCATTCTAACCATTGTGCTATCACAGCTTTTCCTGTTGCTCCCCATTTGCCTGCCCGAATTCCCTTTTTCTCAGTTGGCTGTGTGTGTGAGGCTCTAGGACAGGGGTGTCAAACTGCCGGCCAGCGGGCCGGCAATGGCAAAAAAGCTCCAATACGTTGCGCGATGTCACATGACGTCGGGAGTTTGACATGTCTGCTCTAGGATGTGAGAAATGTGTAAATATATTCATCGGGGTCAGCAATACCTCATGGTGGGGGTTGAGACCCCCATTTCCCGAAAGGGAAAATGATGGCATCTTTTGGCCAAAACTTCCACCTGGTGATCCTACCTGCCCAAGATAGACTTTGGGCTCCAACATCAGCCACTTTCTTTCAGCTTCGTGTGTTGCATCCACCCAACCACTGGAATCACTTCACCAAGGGCAGCAGCACCAGAAACCATGGTTAAACTAGCAATGCTTTAGTTGAGGGATGTGTAATTTCTGGTCTAAAAGTTGATCCCCGCTTTGGGAGAGTGTGATGGGGTGAAACTCCCAAATTTTATCTTGTGGCCTTTACGGTTTAACAAAATTAAAGTACGGTATTAACAAGTTTTTCTCCTCGCATATTTCATCATTTTCCCTTTCGGTGTCATTGAATTCTGCAGTGTGAGGTCTTGGTCAAGTCCAACATCCATCCTGAATCCCTTCCTTTTTTCATCTGCAGCTCTGTTCATTTTCCCCTTCTTTTCCCCTCCATTTCTCTCCCAAGCTTCTTCTACCATTTGCTAGTTTCCTTTCTAAATCAACCACCAAGAAGCAGCTGCCTCTTCTGAGAAAAAAACAGGGAAATAACAGTTTTTAGAGATTCTATCCAGCTTTATAGAAACCAAAGAAAATCCAAGCATTGGAATAAAATCCAGGATATTCGTTCTTCTCTATTTAGATTAAGCATAAAGAAAGTGGATCTTTTCTGGGTTGGGAGAATATGAGGATATAAATCCCAGTTACAAAGGAGGAGATATAAGAAACACACCCGGACTTCCGGCTGTGACGTCATCGTGGAGCGGGTGAAGGAATAGATCTCTGTTCCTAAATCCCGGGAAATCTTCGCTAAGAGCCCCGAAAGGGCTTTGCCGATCCCGGAGAGATTGGTAAACTAAAGAGGAAGCTTCAGAGAAGCCGGGTGGAACGCAAACACCCGAGCAAACCGGAGCTGCACTCTTAAAATTGGCGGAGAAGAAGCCGGTCTTTAAGGCCGGCCTGGAGCGATGGCGGCAGTCTGAGAGGGAAGCGGAAAGTGGAACTGACAGCTTCGTACGGGAGACGAGGAAAACCCCTGAAGGAGGTGAGAAACATTTGGCTGAGAGAAGGCGCAGAAAAGCAGAGCAATGAGGAGAGAGACATAGCNACTCCCATGTGAGTTTTCTGATATTTCCCTTTTAAGCAAAACATTTCTACACTTTATGAGTCTTTATGGCTTCATTCTTTTATGGATCTTTTGATGACGTCCAAGGTGTTGTTTTTGGGAAAAGCATTTCCCACACTCCACACATTTGTACGGCTTCTCCCCTGTGTGGATTCTCTCATGAACCTGAAGCAGTGTTGCTGTGAGAAAACCTTTCCCACACTCCCCACATTTATAGGGCTTCTCTCCTGTGTGCCCCCTCTGGTGTCTCCGGAGTTCAGCAGACTCCACAAATCGCTTGTCACATTCTGGGCATTGATAGGGCCTGTCTCCGGCGTGAAGTCTCTCATGTCGAATTAGGTGTGACCTTTGAGAGAAAAATCTTCCACATTCTGAGCACATTTCATTTTTCTTTCTTTCTACAAGCTTGTAAAGCTTCTTTGCTGTGTGAATCTTCTCATGTCTTTTAAGATATTCTTCGCACAAAAAAGACTTCCCACACTCCGGACATTTATATGGTTTCTCTCCAATGTGGGTTCTCTGATGTATCAAAAGTCTGTCTTTCCGAGTGAAAGATTTCTCACACACTGAGCATTTATGGGTCTTCTCTGCTGTATGGACTTGCCAGTGACTTCTAAGGTGATTTGAATGAATAAATGCTTTCCCACAGTCTAAACATTTGAATTTTCTTTCCCCTCTGTGAATTTTCTTATGACGTCTGAGGTTTGCTATCATATGAAAAAATTTTCCACACTCAATGCACTGGTAGGGTTTCTCCCCTGTGTGGATTATCTGATGTCGAAAAAGACTTTTCTTTAGAGCAAAACATTTCTCACAATCGTTACATTTATAGGGTTTTTCTCCCTTGTGTGTCTTTTGGTGACTCCAAAGTGAGGAAGGACTCCGAAATCGTTTCTCACATTCTGGGCATTCATGGGGTCTTTCCCCAGTGTGGATTGTCTGATGTTGCCGCAGGGATGAGTTCCTGGAAAAACATTTCCCACACTCCAGACATTGATAAGGTCTCTCCCCAGTGTGGATTCTCTGATGTTGCTGCAGGGATGATTTGCTGGAAAAACATTTCCCACATTCTAGGCACGTTCTGCTTTCCTCCTGTGTGTGTGTTTTATGATGTTTGCAAAGTGATGAACTCCGAGTGAAACATTTTCCACACTTGAAGCATTTATAAGGTTTTATTTCCATGTGAATTTTCCTGTGGATTTTGAGACTTTTTTTTCGAACAAAAAATTTCCCACACTCCAGACATTGATAAGGTTTTTGTCCAGTGTGGATTTGTTGATGTTTAAGCATCTCTGAGTTTTGAGAAAAGCAAAGCCCAGATTGCACACAATTGCAGGGGTTTCTCTTCAGTTGGGCTGTTCTGAGGCCTGGAAAAACACTGAGGCCTTCCTGAGGTCTCTTTCCCTGGTGGATACG